TGTACCGAAATAGTATATACTTTGGCCCCAAAGTACCTATATAGGCTATATAGGGACTGCATTAAGGCCAAAGTATATCCTATTTGAGTACATGGACCCTTACGGATGGAGACCAGTTGCAGAGTACTTTGAGGGTGTTGGGTGCAGAGCGCCAAGGTTAGGGTTCAGGGTAGCAAATAGTGGCTCCTCTTTTTGGCGGAGATACTAGGAACCATTGACTGACTATTTGAGCAAACACTTGATACCGGTCCCCCGAAACCCTACGCAATGGTCCGTTGCGGCAACTGACGCTTAGGGTACACCCGAGAAGTTCATGGTACTGTAATTAAGTTCAATGTAGTTTCTAGTAAGTTGGAAAATCATGGTCCTCTTGGCCCTCATGAAGGCAAACAAATGGGAATTCCAGCATGAGTCATCTTTAATCCATGTTGCAACCTTCTGAGGTCCACAGCACCATTTGTACAGCATAGGTCAAAAATCATGACATGATGCTTTTAACAGTTGCAAAAGCAGCACTTCCGCTTGTCTTCTGGGGTCTGGGGTTAGGGCTTACCTAGAGTAGCCCAGTACCTTCAAAAGGGAAATGTACCCATTGTTTCAGGGTCATATGCCTGTTGACGGTACATTCGTTGCTCTAGTCTAGGTGCTTAAGGCCTGATGCCGATGTTGTTTGGCTTCAGGGGCGGATGCGGGGCTTTCGGCTCGGCAGTTCAACACAGCTTGAAAGCCCGATAGCAGCATTTCTTACCCAGCTCCTCCTTACATTCCTAAACCCCTCTCTCATTTCCTATACCCGTACACCCTAAATCCTGCGAATCCAAATCTGGCAACCCTGTCCCTTGCAGGAAAGCCCAACTTTTGCGCGGCAGATGTGCTTCAAGGCTCCGTCATGAGAAGACCCCGCACGGCAACATAGGAGCTGAGGGTGTAGGGCAGTGTAGGGTGTAGGGGAATGAGTAGTTGTAGTAGTACTAGTAGCAGTAGTAGTAGTAGTAGTAGTAGTAGTAGTAGTCCTCGTCGTGGTGGTGGTGGTGGGTGGTGGTGCTGGTAGTCGCGGTGGTAGTAGCGGTTGTACTGACGGTGGTGATGAAGTAGTAGGAGTAGGAGTAGGAGTAGGAGTAGAAGTAGAAGTAGAATGACAAGTAGAAGTAGTAGTAGGAGTAGTAGTAGTAGTAGTACTAGTAGTAGCAGTAGTAGTAGTAGTAGTAGTTGTTGTTGTTGTTGTAGTGGTAGAAGGAAGTGGTAGTAGAAGTAGTTGTAGGAGTAGGGTCGGAGTAGGTGCAGTAGGCGTGGTAGGTGCAACAGGTGCAAATGGAAAGCCCGTGCGAACCCCCACAAAGCCCGTTGGACAGCACAACATGAAACTGCACTCCAAAGTGGAGGTCGTGTCCGTGACCGATCAGCTGTTGGCTGCTGCCGAGCACTTCAAGCCCATCTTCGAGGTTGGACGGACGGGGGTGTTAGGGCTGAGGGTTTAGAAATTGGACAATATACCAGTCTGAAAAGTCAGCACATATACAACTATCTATCTATCTATCTATCCATCCATCGGTCTATCTCTCTATCTATCTGTTTATCTATCTACCTATCTAGCGATCTATCTATCTATCTATCTATCTATTCTTCTATCTATATCTGTCTATATCTATTTATATCTACCTACTATTACCCATATCTACCTATATCCTTCTATCTATATCTGTCTATATCTATTTCTAACGATCTGTATCTACCTTTATCTATCTATTTATTTATCTATATATCTGTCTATCTATCTGTCTATCTTTCTTTAACTTTCTATATCTATCGTCTATCCCCCGAAAAAGGTTTGTGACCGTCGACCTTGCAACAACCACCACCCCACAAACTAGACGATCCACAGTTTGTATGTAGTGTTCCGGAAGGATCTTGCATGCATCCACGAGGGTTTTGAAAGGACATTGTATGGTGTTATCTCGCTCAAAACTCTGTTTTTTTCATGGCTTTTGTTTAAGGAACCTATTCATTTTCAGTGAATGCTCCACATTTGCGGTCGCGAACCGCAAACCCTGAACTCTTTCAACACCCGACTTGTGCATTATAGGGGTGTACTAAGCTTGAGCGGAAGAACACACTAAAACTCAAATCTCGGGGGGCGCCGAAGCAGAAGAAGCCTACGAAACCTTGTGTAAGATTGATGAGGCCGAGACCTGAAAGCCAAACCACCGAGCCCAACACCCGCTTTAGGGTGTAGGTAGGGTTTAGGGTTGAGGGTTTAGGAGGACTTTTAATTTCTAGCAGTAGAGAGGTAACCTTTAGCTTTTTGGGGGTACTATAGTCCCTATATACTCCCAAAGATTCACCTTTAGTTCTCCATGATAGGGATGAGAGGGCATATAACCATAGGCCCCATAGTAGTTCCTTTTTGGGGTTACCTTATAGGATTGTATATGAACTTATAGAATTATATATGAACCCCAAGAAGGAACTACTTTAGGGCCTGTGGGTAACCCGTCATGTGCACCCAAGCGCCCTGCAGGAAACGGTGAACGTGCCTTGATGGCGTGGGGTGGTGCTTGCTTTATGGGAGCCGTGAGGAAGCTAGGAGCTTCGCTGCTTTCTTCTGGAGTTGAATGCATGTTGGGTTCGTGACATTCTTGAAGGCTTTAGGCGTCAGGCCTCTGTGGGATTCCGTAAACCCTGCACTCTGTGTAGAATATGCATGCGGACATGTGAAGGAGTGAAGGAGGCATGACTTGTTTGCCGTTTCTGCTATCAGCTCAGTGTTTCAGAACCCGGGTTCCGAAGACCGAACCCCAAACCTGGCAGAGTTGATTCGGGAAGCAGGCTTCCCCCCCACTTTCTGGTGCAGAACGGTCAGCTATGATGTGTCAGCCTGTAAGAAGCATTCGAAACCCGCAGCCCTGTGGCAACGGTAACCGCAAGAAAGGCACTGCAGAAGGTGACCTTAGGTGTTGCCGTCCGTCTCGGAGAGCCACCACCTCGGGCCCCCGGGCATTTACCAGGCCTCAGCCGTTTCAGGCACTTTCGATACCAAGACGACTTGGCTAATCCCGGCCAAGGGCTCGAATTCAAAAAACGATTGACACTGGCTGGTCTCCCGTTGTTTGGTCCTGAATCGGGCTTGGGGGTTATACTATACTATAATTATTAGAATATGGAACCCCCAAAATAGCATAGGTAATTATTAAGACTCACCAAATAAGGACCTCTGCAAACCCCTGAAGCATTTGGGGTGAGAGATGACTGAGGGACGGGCGTGTGCTACACCCGAAGCCCCATACCTACCTTCGGTGGACGTCATAAGTCCTACGTAGCCCGTGAACCCTAAGCCCTCAGCCGTAACAAAAATCATGGGTTCATGGCCGGCTGAGGCACTTTGCCAGCACGTCCAGGACCCCCGGTCAGAGTCTGTCCGGAGATCATAGTGGAGCCTGAACATACCGCCGAAATTCCGAAAGGTTATTTAAAAACACTACAGAAAGCTTAGGCGTACAGAAAACCTGAAGGCGCTACTGTTTTCTACGCCCTACATCGACCTGCGCGTTTCTTTGCAACGGCTTTGTTTCAGCGACTGGCTTCGCAAGCTGGGTAGCGCCAATCACTTGTCGGATGATTGTCCTTATCACGGCCGTCGTCATAACCGTCTTCATCACCACCACCGTCATGATCATTATCATCAACATCAGCAGCAGCGTCAGCAGCAACAGCATGGCCCTGGGCAGGACAAGCTCGCCGACAAAGCCGCCAAAGACAGGTTGGAGGGCAAGGCCATGCGAGTTGAGGGTTCCGGCTTGAATATACTCAAGAGCCAGCAGTCAGGACTTCAGCGCACCATAAATCCCGAGTCTTCTGGATCCTTCCGGGCCGACGGTCGTCCCTTGCTTCTTCCACGGCCCCTGAAGTTCGACTTTTTCGGATATGGGGAGCTCAACGTGAACGGGCGCGCAGAAAATGGGATGATGATCCGATTTTGGAGTGTCTGGGGTGCCTACTCCGAGACTCGGTCCAACGCTCCAAATCTGACTCTGCACTGCTGCAGGACGGCCCCGAGGAATCCACCGAGTACGAGCTCATTCTTGGCCCACTCAAGGATCCTGTGCGGGTCCACGAGAAGGCTGCGGAATCGGTAAATGAGCTGCCCAAAAGCCCCAGTAGTGTCAAAACGGAGGGCATTGATAATTAATTGGAATAGTTGTTCGGGGCACTTCGTTACAGTATACATGCTTGTAATTAACAGTTAGTATAGCTGTATAGGGACTCGAATGGGATCTTATTGCTAAATACTTCGACTTTTTAGAAGCCCTCCATTCCCAAGGAAGCGGGGCAGTGGTACCAAGCCAGGCCAGAACTTAAGTGCTCTATGCTACGGGGCGGGGTTGAGTGTAGGGGCCTTGATAGTTACCTATACTACGTTGGGGGTTTCTTATTACAAGTTGTAGTATAATATAACCCCCAAGCCCTATTCTAACTATTAAGGCCCTACGTTAACTTGTAGTATTGACCTGTTACAGTTTCCAAATAGCCTTACTTCAACAGACGCCAAATCGCTAGTCAAGCTTTTCAAGCCCGTATATTACTGTTAGAACAAGGGTTCTTCTTGGAGTCTGGCTTTGCTCCTCCCCATCCAACCCCGACACTTCAAAATCCCGTACACACAAATAGTTCAGGAACAACTCCCGCAGATTTGCAAGACCTAGGAGTCCTCAATGAAAGGAATAGTCGTTGAAGCAGACCCTTGTAGCCACAAGCTCCGAAACCGAGAGGGTTTGGGTTTAGGGCTTAACTCCAAAATAATTCACTGAACTCCAGGCCAAAACCCTAGACCCGAGCAAACCCCTAAACCCTAAACCCCAACCTCTACAGCCTTAGATCGTGGGAGGGACAAAAAGCCTTAGATCTGATAGACTTCGATATCGGAGCAGGCCGTTGACGACTATGCCGACCGCTTCAAGGCTAGAGCTTTTGGATTCGACGGTACGTCCTAGAAGTTCATTAGGGTTTAGGGTATAGGGTGTCCAAAAGATTTCGTTGGCCTTGACATGTTTGATGTAGTGTTTTTGCATCGAGGGCCAAGGTTTTTGGATGAGGTTTTGCGGGGCCCATGTAAGACGAAAGTGCACATGGAATGGTCCCAGGGGCTTACTGGGGTTTAGGGTTTAGGGGGTTTGGAGGGCATCTTAGCTTGGATTGCCCCTGTTGCGTGGAGGGCTGTGTGTTTTGTGGCAGTAACTGTCCCACGCTTGCGATGCGAGCTTTGGGAGTATTTTTGTTCGACCTTCAATTGCGCATGGTCTGTGGTGTTTCCGTGCAGTGAACTCTTATGGGGGATGCCTTCACAAGACAACTGAGAAAAGCCCCTGCTTGACGGAACCGCCGAGATCCGCCGAGAGTTGAAACCAAAGCCTTCAGACTCGAAGCTCGCAACAGGGCTGAGGCTGCATGCAAATGCCTGTGTATATATGTATATACACATACAGATGCATGCATGCATGCATGCATGCATACAGCACATGTACACCCGTACTTACATGCATACATACACACTTACTTGCATACGTAAGTACGTACATGCGTACATAAATGCATACATACATGCATGCATACATACATGCGCACATACAGATACTCAGGTAAATACGCCCTGATTAAGAGTGGCTGGAAGCATCATTCATGCTTCTCTGCACAATAGGTGTTGACAGGTATGGTCCCCAGGTAGACATATCTTGTTCGCGGCATATCCTGTTGGGTGACATCAATCTACGCCTACCTCTGAGTGCGATTTGTAGCGAGCCCCTGGCCCCGGACGGGCCTCTCAGATCTGACCCTACCCGTTCAGACAATGAGAAGATGATTATACAGTTACGCCGCGGTAAAGGCTTACGAGCTGCGTATCGGATGTGGCACACATGTGCCGAAGCTTCTGCCATCGTTCTGCCGCCAGGAGCATCTCGCTGAAGCAAACGTGGTGGATGTGATCCGAGCGAGGTTAGTTTGCAGCCGCCTGTCGGCCACAGATTCGTCAGAGCAACGCAACCCGAAATCCCAGAAATACCACTATGGCCCACATACCATTCGCGATCATTCTTATCGATGGACGGCTATCCGAGGCAGTGGCAAGCAGATGAAGACATTTCTGGAGATGATTGCCATTGGGTTTCCTTACGAGGTTCGGGCAGTCTCACATGTTTGAGAATCGACATGAAAATTCCTTACGAGGTTCGGGCAGTCTCACTCATGCTTGAGAACCGACATGAAGTTTCTGGCATGGCAGGCGTGGGCATATTTGGTTAATCTTCGGATAGTGGTTGTGCTCGCTTTTCTGCGATGCATTGCGCAAAGAAGCTATGATTGTTTGGGCGGTCTCCTTGTCTCTCTCTTTAAAGTCTTCGGCGAATTCTTCGGCAGCAAAATGCTTGCGCAACCCCTTTCCGAACCGGCCCTAACCTGCGTTCCTTGAGTCCCTACACCTTCAGACCAGCCCTTAGGAAGTGTTACCGTCATTGTCTCATACCCAGCAACCCCGCAACATTCCCGAGTCCCAACGCCCAATCAAAACCCCAGCCAAACGGTGTGCCAAGGTTTGGCAACCTCCGATGCTGTGACTCGAAATCCTTTACCCCGAAACGCCCCAACGCCACTGAACCGCAATCCTACGCCCGAAGATCCAAAGCCCCAAGCCCTGCGGCCTAATTAAGCCCTAGGACCATCATCCCACGCCCTAAATTCTACATATATCCCGAAACCCCACAAGCATTGTTGGAAAGACGGGCCAAAAGGTGGACGGAAAGGCGGTGAAACTCGAGCTTGCCCGCGTGAAGAACAAGTTCTCTTCCAAGGCACACTCAGAAGGGTTCCCTAAACCCCCAAAGCCATTTAAAACTCCTAAGTACCCTAATGGCCTTGAACACCCTAAACCCCTAAACGTTTTGGGACTTTGGCTTTCAGGCCCCTGTCTTGCAAGAAAAGAGGCCAAAAATAAATGAAAATCAGAAATTGCATAGCCCGAAAGTTTTTCGCGATGCCGAGCGGAGTACGACGCTTATTAGGATGGCGTGGACAAAGGAGCTGGCGATGGACGGGTGGAAGGTCGTTATTGGCGTTTAGGGATAGGGAGTTTGTTTGCCCTTGGGATGTTCAGATCAGTCCGACACTCGTTACAAGCATCATGGTGCACATACTCAGACCGTAACTTTGGGATCAAATTGGAATCGTAGTCTGATTTTGTTTCACCTGACAGGTATTTGGGTGATTATAGAACTACACAGGCCTAGCCACAGACCCGATAGAAGCCTTGCCGCAGTCAAAGCTCGTTAGCATGTGGACATGCAGGCTTGGCACCCGAAGACCCAACAAAATCGGAGCACAGGTTCTGAAAGTTTAGAGAACTTACGGTAGGGGCATTGAGTTCTCAGGCGTTTTGCTTCGTTGGAGTTTCTAGGTTCACCCGACCCCGACGATCCTGAATCAAAGTTTGCGTCGAGGACAGCGATCCCTCGCGCTTCCGAAACGTGCTGCTGAACCTGGAGCTTTCCTGCAACTTGCTGCTAAGTTACTAAGGCTTGCTTCCGTCGTCCTCGTAGTTCCAGTAGAACCCCATTTGCCCTGAGATGCATCTCTTGCACACTACTGGAGCACTGTCTCAGCTTGGCTCGTCTTCGTTACTACCACTATGTGATCATTCAAGTATGCTGTATTCGCGGGGAAGCCTTTGAATAATACAGGGGTTTAAATAATCACCAGTACTATTCTGGGGTTCTTTATTATAACTATAATACAATATATAATCTGCCCCAAAATCCTATTCTAATTAGTAAGACCCCTATATTATGAGTCTCGGAACCTCAAGTTTGTTCTGCTGAAAGCTCTGGAAGATTGAGACCTGGCTGCACGTGACGCGTTTACCCAAAGGCCCTAAGGCTCAAAATAGCCCAAAAGCCATATATCGCATGTTATGGTTTAGGGTTAAGGGCTTAGGGTTTTGTATGGTCTTTGGGCCCAACAGTTTCAGAATATGAGTCCTTAGAGCTCAGGGTTAGGATCTCAGTCAGGACTCCTGTTAGGCCTCATCTTGTTTGTTTAGGGCCCAGGGTCGCACAGCAGCCCTGAACTTCGCCTGACTGATCTGGGCGTCTCTCGTACCCGAAGCTTTTGTACAAGTTTGATTCCATTTTTGCATTTGTTATAGGTCCCTCAACCCAAGAAAGAACAGAAATGTAGTTTTTCATGCTGTCTCAACCATGGGCTAGGAAGTCCCACAGACTAAACCGCCCAACAGCTGGAAGATAGATCAAGAACCAGCTCCCCCTCTGAGGTGGGCAGATCTCTCACTTTGTTGAGCTGCAGGTCCACCACGAGTCCCCCGTCTTGGATATGGGGGTTTCCGAAAATAGGGGATCCTAATATAGCACCCTAAATAGTAGGATCCTTATTATAAGGACCCCAAAATAAGGTACCCCTAATTTCGGAAACTCCCATATGAGGAGTTTGGGGTTTAGGGTATAGAGCTGGCAGTCATCAAGTCCGGTTTCAAAAGGGATTAGACTAAAGGTATAGAGAGCCCTGAATTTCACATTCAAAAAGCCCAGATAGCTGAAAGCCCAAAAGCCCTAAACCCAGAACTGAAGCAAACTGGGTCAGCAAAACCACGCAGCCCGACCATGAGAGACTCAGCTGCGGGTTGGCTGTCGGGTTTGCGGATGAAGCTGCACTGAACTTTTGCAAAGTCTCAGCAACTCGGCATCCTAAAGTCTTTTACTGACGGGCTGGATAGGTATCCTTTAACCACCTGGGTTTTCATATAGTTCTACTAGTATTGAGAAAGGTCAGCCTTTTTGTGGGCTCGGGTACTCAGCCCCTAAGTTCAACATTCCTTTCAACACAGGGTTTAGGGTTTAGGATTCCTAAACCCTAAACCCTAATATCTTTCGGCTGAATAGTGTGTGTAGAGGCATGGGCTCCCGGAAGCATCTTTCACTTTCGGATCTCACGCGGCAGCTGCGGTGTGTTGTTCTCATTCGACCTTGAGTTTTAGGTTTTGTGCGTTTTTCCGTTGAAGCATGTGTAAGCATACAGCCGTATGATATGCAGGCAGTTGTACTCGAGCACGGGGTTCACCCATTTAGCCTGGCAATCACCGGCAGCTCACTATTTCTGGGGCTTGGGTTTTAAGCATGAAGCCTCTAAATCGAGCCTCCAAACCTTCCCACCCCTTCGACAATAGAATCATTAGAAGGTGCCCAGACCCGTGTCCCTAAACCAGATATAGCTTAAATCTTAAAAGCCCATGATACTGAATCAGTACGTACTGGCACATGTAAATTCTTGTGCAGAAAGCTGACTAAATCTAAAGCCTTGCCAAGTATTTTCCAGCTGCTGACTCAGTTTATCGTTCAAGACGTCCTGGTCACTCTTGGTGCTTGAAGTTCCCATTACTACTTCGGCTACTCAAGCTGGAAAGTACTCCGACTGCTTTGCGGTTGCTCGCTGGTAGACCTAAACCCTAAACCCTAAGTCGTAGTGCCGCTCTTGCTTTCCTTTGGCTTCTGCCATCGATTTCCAGGTTGATCCTGGGCTACAACGAAGCACCTGGCCTTATCTCGCGGCATTCCTTGTAGGCTTTATAGACTTTAGGGTTTAGGGTGTAGGGTTCAAAGTTTCAGACGTGGGGTTGAGGAGTTTGGACCTGGCTTGGGGTTTCTGGTAAGGGTTTTTTTCAAGGGTTCGGGAATTCATGTTCTTTTCGTTCTGGGTTTATGTGCTGCAAAGCTGGTGGATGAGTAGTGCTTCAGCGACTCAGTGGCCGGGAGCTTGCATTTTAGTCAGAGCGCTCTGACACACCAGCCCCGTATGTACTATGAGAAGACTATGCCGTATATAGCTCCTTTCTGTAAGATTCCTTAGGAATCCTGACTGTACTATATTGTGTTTATTCCTTGGGCATTTCCACTACTTAATGTTTTTCTTTGCAGGGCTCCGGTTCCATATAAGGCCTGAGTACTTATCAAAATTGCTCCTTAATAAAAGGCCCGTAAACCCTATTCTAGGTTTCAAGGCCTCTAGATGAGGCTGTTGTGTGGGACCAGCAGACCCTACAATGAGAGGCCAGGGTCTCAAGCGCAGTGTAAAGGAACCGAAATCACTGGCACTAAGACGAGCCACGCCCATGACTTCTACGACTACTTCCGGCGGGAGTGACCTTGGCTGAATGAACTCCTAGCTCCTGAGAGTTTGACCGCCGATTTGGCCGGTCATCGTTCAGGACCTTGTTGCGAAGTTGCCCCAGCCTCGTTCAGAAACGTACTCTACACCCTGTGCCCCGGTGCAATGTGCAATTTGCGGGCTGGTTCGTTTCGGTGCAATCTAGGCCTTGGGCTGCGTGCGGCCTGGGCGTTTCTTAAAATATACAATTGTCCACAGCCTGACCTCTAACCATTACGGAAGGGGCTTCCATTCCAGCTGGAGCAAAGCTGAAGCGGAAAAGTATGTGGGACGAGCATTGCTAATCAGTTCATAGGCTACCGCTCTAGACACCGAAGATATAGTTGTTTTCCCCACCAGTGTCAGCCGCTCTTGAGGCTACGCAACACTTACGGACAGGACATGGAGCACAGCCACTCAGCTGGCAACTGTGTCCATGGGCTTTCGTGCCATCACATATGCTTTTATACTAAAGCATGAGCACGTAAGCAAACATTTGAGTGGCATGCATACGATATCCGGGCAAATGCACTCGAGGTTGTGTGACTGTGTGGAAACATTCATGAGTCGTTTGTCTCCGCGAATGTTGTGCAGATCAACCCTTCCTGCAATGTTGGGCGCGTGAGGGTGTAACATAGGCGCCTAAATAATTACC